ATATATTATTCCAACATTCAGCAAGACTCCGGAAGCTAAGGATCCGCCAAAAGAGGAGCATGAATCATCACCTCAGGCATCCGCTAACCCCCCTGATCCAACTAGTGAGGAGGACTTAAAAAAAAGTGCGAAGAGCTTGAAAAGCGCCTCATAAAGACTGAAGAAATGCTCTATTCGGCCTTAAGTACTGGTAAATTTCTTGCTGATATATGTGAATCCTTATATAAGGGGAACGGTATGAGCTGTTAAACCCTTAAGCTTTTCACCACGATTAACTAGATTTTTAAGAAGAGATTCTGCCCTATCTTCTCGGGATGTATCAGACGAATTATCAGAGACCACACCATTTTTGTTATTTTTTTCCACTATACTGGTTGCTTCAGTAACCGGCTTCTCATCTATTTTAACCTTCTTTTTTCGACCATTCTTTTTTGGAATCTCTGTAACCAGAATGGGTATAGATGATACTTCTGATACTGCTTTAAGAGTCTGTCCTGTCTTATCAGTTTGGGAATTTTTATTCAAAGTCGGCTGATCAGAAGAAGATAAAATAACCCCTTGTTGGAGGCGCTCTTTATTATCCCATATTTCATAAACACGCTTAGGACCAATATGAAATTTATCAGCCATTTTTTTTGATGCATTGGGTATTCTACCTCTAGATTCTCTAATTTCCTTGATATCATCATCCGATAATAGGGTTGCCTTAGCATCATAAAATGTATCATGGATTCGGACTACCATCTTCACTAGATTTTTATATTAGAAAAAAAAATATTAATGCTTTTCAATAAAATATCAATGTGTATCAATGCATACGTATCAATACCTTTTCAATACGTATTAATATTTTTCAATGTATATCAATGCTTTTCAATATGTATTAATATGTTTTCAATGCCTACCAATATGTATTAATACTCTTCAATGTTTATTAATATATTTCAATGCCCACTAATGTGTATCAATAGGCATTAAATTCGCTAATAATCATTATAGTTCAAGGTCCTGGCTGATTTTTTTTTTGCCAAAAGTAAAAAAAAATACCAATAAAATGCCCCAGATCCGTACCTTAAAAGATCTGGATAATGGTAATAAACTTGGAGATACTCCAGCAAATCAATACCCTTCTAGTCGAACAAAGCTTGAAGAAGAACTTTCTTGCGCAAAAAAAGACCGTGAAGTTGCTATATATTGGGGGAGTCAATTTGCAGATAGTTATGATATCTTAGATAAAGAAAATAAGCGCATACAGGATGACCTTAATCAATCAAAAAAAGAAAGTAAGCGAATACAGGATGATCTTAATAAATCTAAAAAAGAAAAAGAGAAACTTTCCAATCGGGTACATCAGCTCGGGGAAGAGATAATACGGTTACAGTCAGAGATAAATGATCCTAAGCTTAGAGATGAGATAAGGCAGTTACACTCAGAGATAAATGATCTCAAGCTCCAAATCACTCGTAAGGATATTTCTCTTGCAGATGCTGAGAACAAATTCACTATAAAATCTGAAGAGATGCAAGCCCTCCAATCCAAGATGACAGAAGAGATGCAGGTTCTCCAATCTAAGGTGGAGGAATTAGAGCAGGATATTTCTTTAGCACAGGAGAACTTATCAGAAATGGATTCTTTCAAGCTTAAATTCGAACTAGAAAATGTTGAACTATCTAATAAAAACATTGGTTTATTTTTAGCGAAAGAAGAATTAGAAGGTTCACTGGCCGAAAAAAATGATGAATTACTACAGATGAAGGATGATTTAGTTTCAGTGCAAAAGACATTAATGGAGAAAGATTTCCTTCTTCAAGAAGCGAAGTCGAGCCGACTCGAGAGATCATTAGCTGATGCTCATTTAGTAGAGCAGATTCCAAAAATATCTAGCGACTCTAAGCATAATGAGATGAGTGGAGGTGTTAGTAGACTGGAGAAAGATAACGACATCACTAGTCCTGAAACAACCTCAGTATCACCTAATTCCTTCCTTTTTCAGCATGCAATCATCTTCGTAACAGTATTACTAATCATATACTTTCTATGGCGCATATCCTCTTATCTATATTCTTTTATTTCACCTTACAATGAAGAAAAAAATATTCCGAACTATAAAATACCCTTAAATAGAAATCAGAGTTATGGATTCCCGA